CCCCGGCCGCGCCGCGCTCCAGCCCGGTGCCCCCGGCCCGCACCTTGTGCGCGCCGCCTCTGCCCAGGGGCCCCACGGTGAACTGGAAGGGGCTGCCGGGCACGTGCTGCCCGCGGTACTTGACGTTGACCGTGTGCGGCCCCATCTCCTGCGGCACGAAGCGCACGCTGTACGTGCTGTCGCCCCCCTCCACGATCTCGGCGTCGAACAGCTTCCCCGAGGGGCTGAGCACTTGCGCCGTCATGTCCTGCGGGGCCGCCTCGCCTGCGGGGACAGCGGCGCTGGCACCGGGGAGCGTGCACGGGTGTGCAAAGGGATGCACACACTGTGGGGAGTGTGCACGTGTGTGCAAAGGGTGCACGCGCTGTGGGGAGTGTGCAAAGGGTGCACGCGCTGTGGGGAGTGTGCAAAGGGTGCACGCGCTGTGGGGAGTGTGCAAAGGGTGCACGCGCTGTGGGGAGTGTGCAAAGGGTGCACGCGCTGTGGGGAGTGTGCAAAGGGTGCACGCGCTGTGGGGAGTGTGCAAAGGGTGCACGCGCTGTGGGGAGTGTGCAAAGGGTGCACGCGCTGTGGGGAGTGTGCAAAGGGTGCACGCGCTGTGGGGAGTGTGCAAAGGGTGCACGCGCTGTGGGGAGTGTGCAAAGGGTGCACGCGCTGTGGGGAGTGTGCAAAGGGTGCACGCGCTGTGGGGAGTGTGCAAAGGGTGCACGCGCTGTGGGGAGTGTGCAAAGGGTGCACGCGCTGTGGGGAGTGTGCAAAGGGTGCACGCGCTGTGGGGAGTGTGCAAAGGGTGCACGCGCTGTGGGGAGTGTGCAAAGGGTGCACGCGCTGTGGGGAGTGTGCAAAGGGTGCACGCGCTGTGGGGAGTGTGCAAAGGGTGCACGCGCTGTGGGGAGTGTGCAAAGGGTGCACGCGCTGTGGGGAGTGTGCAAAGGGTGCACGCGCTGTGGGGAGTGTGCAAAGGGTGCACGCGCTGTGGGGAGTGTGCAAAGGGTGCACGCACCGCAGGGAGCGTGCACACATGTGCAAAGGGGTGCACATGCTCTGGGGAGTGTGCACGTGTGTGCAAAGGGTGCATGCGCCGCAGGGACGGTGCTCACATGTGCAAAGGGGTGCACATGCTCTGGGGAGTGTGCACGTGTGTGCAAAGGGGTGCACGCACCACGGGGAGCGTGCGCGCTTGTGCAAGGGGTGCACACACTGTGGGGAGCGTGCACGCGTGTGCAAAGGGTGCATGTGCCCCAGGGAGTGTGCGCGCTTGTGCAAAGGGGTGCACACGCCATGGGGAGCATGCACGTGTGTGCAAAGGGTGCACGCGCCCCAGGGAGTGTGCGCGCTTGTGCAAAGGGGTGCACACACTGTGGGGAGCGTGCACGTGTGTGCAAAGGGGTGCACACGCCGCGGGGAGCGTGTGCGCTTGTGCAAAGGGTCTGTGCACACTTTGAGGAGCATGCACATGTGTGCAAGGCATGCACATGTCCCTGGGAGTGTGCACACGTGTGCAAAGGGGCTGTGCAAGCTTCAGGGAGCAAGCGCATGTGTGCAAGGCATGCACACATCCCTGGGAGAGTGCACACATGTGCAAAGGGGTGCACACGCCATGGGGATTGTGTGTGCTTGTGCAAAGGGGCCATGCGCGCTTTGGGGAGCATGCACATGTGTGCAAGGCATGCACACATCCCTGGGAGCATGCACACATGTGCAAAAGGCCTGCACACGCTCCAGTGAGCATGTACACGTGTGCAAGACTTGCACACATCCCTGTGAACTTGCACACGTGTGCAAAGGGGCTGCACACACTCTAGGGAGCTTGCACACGTGTGCAAGGGATGCACACATCCCTGGGAGCACAGACATGTGTGCAAAGGACCCATGCTCGCTCCAGGGACCATGTACACGTGTGCTAGGGATGCACTCACCCAGGAGCATGCACAGGTGTGCAAGGCCTCTGCACACGCTCCCGGGAGTGTGCACATGTGTACAAGGGATGCACACACTCCTGGGAGCATGCACACGTGTGCAAGTGGTCTGCACACACTCCAGGGAGCCAGTGTCCTCGTGCAAACGACGTGCATGCACCACTGGGTGCTCACGCCCTTGTGCAAGTAGCACACACACACACCTGAGTGTGCAAAGGGCATGCACACCCGGAGAAGGTGCACGCTTGTGCAAAGGACACACGTGAACACACGCACACCGTGCCAAGTGCACCCATGGGAGCCTCCCGGTGCAGACACTGCCCCGTGCAAGGGCAGCTGGGTGTGCAAGGCCCGAGGAGCTGCCCCTCCGCAGTGGCTTGCACGAATCCTCGTGCAAGGGGCTCACACGCAGTGCAGAGGGTGCGTGCTGCCCCCCGTGCGAGCACGCACAGCCCCGTGCAGACACGTTCCCCCATGCAAATAAATACTCCGTGCAAGCACACGGCCCCCGTGCAAGCTCATTCTGTGCAAGCACAGGCCGCGTGCAAGTGGATCCCCATGTGCAACGGCATGGGCAGCCCCCGTGCAAGCACACTGCCATGTGCAAGTGCGTGTTCAGCCCTGTGCAAGCATGCATCCCCAGTGCAAGCACCATTCTGTGCAAATGCACAGCCCCTGCACGTGCACGCTGTCACACGCGAGCGCACAGCCCCTGTGCAAGCATGCGGCCGTGTGCAAGCGCACGTGCAGCCCTGTGCAAGAGCACAGCCATGCTGCAAGCACGCTCCCCCGTGTGCAAGTGCACATCCTGCTGCATGCAGGGGAATGGCCCCGTTGCAAGCTCATTTCCACGTGCAAGTGCACCTGCAGCTCCGTGCAAGCGCACAGCCCCGCTGCAGCTCACTCCCACGTGCAAGTGCGTGTGCAACCGCATGCAAGCGCAGAGCACTACTGCAAGCTCGCTCCCATGTGCAAAAGCACATGCAGCTCCGTGCATGCTCACTCCCACGTGCAAGTGCATGTGCAACCCCATGCAAGGGCAAAGTGCTACTGCAAGGGCACTCCCATGTGCAAGAGCACATGCAGTTCCATGCACGCTCACTCCCATGTGCAAGCGCATGTGCAACCCCATGCAAGGGCAAAGTGCTACTGCAAGGGCACTCCCATGTGCAAGAGCACATGCAGCTCCGTGCACACTCACTCCCATGTGCAAGTGCATGCGCAACCCCATGCAAGTGCAGAGCGCTACTGCAAGCTCATTCCCACGTGCAAGAGCACATGCAGCTCCGTGCAAGCGCACAGCCCCACTGCAAGCTCACTCCCATGTGCAAGAGCACGTGCAGCTCCATGCACGCTCAGTCCCACGTGCAAGAGCACGTGCAGCCCCATGCAAGCGCACAGCCCCACTGCAAGCTCACTCCCACGTGCAAGAGCACGTGCAGCTCCATGCACACTCAGTCCCATGTGCAAGAGCACGTGCAACCCCATGCAAGCGCACAGCCCCACTGCAGCTCACTCCCACGTGCAAGAGCACGTGCAGCTCCATGCACACTCAGTCCCACGTGCAAGAGCACGTGCAACCCCATGCAAGCGCACAGCCCCACTGCAAGCTCACTCCCACGTGCAAGAGCACGTGCAGCTCCGTGCAAGCGCACAGCCCCACTGCAGCTCACTCCCACGTGCAAGAGCACGTGCAGCTCCATGCACACTCAGTCCCACGTGCAAGAGCACGTGCAACCCCATGCAAGCGCACAGCCCCACTGCAAGCTCACTCCCACGTGCAAGAGCACGTGCAGCTCCGTGCAAGCGCACAGCCCCACTGCAGCTCACTCCCACGTGCAAGAGCACGTGCAGCTCCATGCACACTCAGTCCCACGTGCAAGAGCACGTGCAACCCCATGCAAGCGCACAGCCCCACTGCAAGCTCACTCCCACGTGCAAGAGCACGTGCAGCTCCGTGTGAACGTGCGCGTGAGGCGCTCCGGCGCCGACACCATCTGGAACCAGTTCCCTGGGCGCCGCGCGCGCGCACGGGGACGCGCGGGGACACGGGGGGACACGCGGGGACACGGGGACACGCACGCACGGCAGCGCGGGTGCAAACAGAGGGGGCGTGCACGGGTGCAAAGGGGAGTGCATGGACGGGCGGAAGGAGGGATGCAAAGGTGGACGGATGCACAAATGGATGGATGGATGGACGTGTGCAGGGATGCAAGGATGGATTTAAGGATGGATGGATGTGAAGATGCATGCACAGACGGGTGCAAAGGGGAGTGCATGGACGGGCGGAAGGAGGGATGCAAAGGTGGAAGGATGCACAAATGGATGGATGAATGGATGGATGTGTGGATGGATGGATGGATGTGAAGATGCATGCGCAGATGGGTGCAAAGGTAGATGCACAAATGGATGGAGGGATGCAAGGATGGGTGGATGTGAAGATGGATGTGCAGATGGATGCAAAGGTAGATAGATGCACAAACGGATGGATGGATGGATTTAAGGATGGGTGGATGTGCAGATGGATGCAGAAGGTGGACGGATGCACAAATGGATGCATGTATGGATGGATGGATGTGCAGATGGATGCGCAGATGGGTGCAAAGGTAGATAGATGCACAAATGGATGAATGGATGGACGTGTGGATGGATGTGTGGATGAGTGGATGGATGGATGGATGGATGTAAAGATGCATGTGCAGATGGGTGCAGAGGTAGATGCACAAATGGATGGATGGATGGAGGGATGTAAGGATGGATGAACGTATGATGCAAAAGTAGATAGATGCACAGATGGATGAATGGATGGATGTGTGGATGGACGGAGGGATGCAAGGATGGATTTAAGGATGGATGGATGTAAAGATGAATGTGCAGATGGATGCAAAGGTGGATAGATGCACAAATGGATGGATGGATGGAGGGATGCAAGGATGGATGGATGTAAAGATGGATGTGTAGATGGATGCAAAGGTAGATGCATAGATGCAAGGATGGATGGAGGGATGTAAGGATGGATGGATGCAAAGATGGATGCACGGATGATGCAAAGGTGGATAGATGCATCGATGGATGGATGCAAGGATGGATGCAAGGATGGATGGAGGGATGTAAGGATGGATGGATGCAAAGATGGATGCATGGATGGATGCAGGGACGCACGGATGGATGGAGGGATGCAAGCATGGATGGAAGGATGCATGGATGCAAAGGCGGGTGCACAGATGGATGCCAAGGTGGATAGATGGATGAATGGATGGATGTGTGGATGGGTGCAAGGAAGGATGGAGAGATGTAAGGATGGAGGGATGCAAGGATGGATGCAAAGATGGATGCAAAGACGGACAGTTGCGTAGATGGATGAATGGATGGGTGTGTGTGCATGGATGCACAGACGGATGGAGAGATGCAGGGATGGATTTACGGACGGATGGATAATCGTGGGCACAAACACATGCACGGACAGCCGGACACGTGGAGGAACACACGGATGCACAGTCGGACAGACACGCAGCAGGGCACAGGGACGGCCACGCGGACGGACGCACGGATGGACGGGGAGAGAAGGAAGAAGGAGGCGCAGATCAGAGCCAGGCTGGCAGGGACGCGGCGGGACACGTCCTGGGTCCCCTGCGGGAGGAAGAGGAGGAGGAGGAGGAGGAGGAGGAAGGCCGGGCCTACCTGGGATCTTGAGGTTGAGGTCGCAGGTGCTGCCGATGGTGGCGATGGAGGGGGCCTGGCGCCGGCGCGTGATGCTCTCCTTCATGCGCCCCTCGCCCGTCACCTTCACCGTGAAGGGGCTCCCTGCGCGCGGGGGGCGCCGGGCTCAGCGGGGCCGGCGCGGAGGGGCCCCGGCGTCCGGGCCCCCCGCCGCCCCCGTGCCCACCTGGGACGTGCTTGTCGGCGAACTTGATGTTGATGATGTAGTTGCCGGGCTCGGTGGGGCAGTAGGTGACCTTGCAGGTGCCGTCCTCCATGTCCTCGCAGTTGATGTCCACCTTGCTGGGGCCGTCGGTGGCA